TTGTCAGTGCGTGTACGTGCATTCTAATAGACTGCCATTTTAGGCTTGTATGCCACAGAGCCTCGCTACCACTTCAATATCTGTCAATCACTGTTTCTATGGTATCCTACTACACCTCACTGTCCTACAATCAATTTCTTCTTCTTAATTTCAACGCCGTACCTCTGAGTATACCCCTATCCTCCCACTCGCCAGACCCTAAAACCCTAACACCCCAAAACCTTACTCACAGCCCTCTCCCAGGCACAGCTTGTGGAGGTGTCTATGAACTGCACCTTTGGCATGATGATCATCGGCACACTCCACGAGTGTGTGCGGGATCTATTTATAGAACACCGGGAAACCACTGAACAGTTAGTGGTAGCTGTCATGGGTGTGAGCGATCTTTGTCTCAGCAAAGAGTTGGCGTGTGCTGATAATGTCCTCGCCTCAGTGCACGCCACTAGCTTCCGCACCCTGGCTCTGTTCTCCGAGTGGATCATCACGTATGGCAATAAGGTATGTCAGAGAATGTGTGTGTGTCTCAGATCATGTGCGTACAAGGGTTTATTTGTACATCATATTGGCGTATGTATAGGTAGAGAATTGGAATAGGCACCTGATAGTACTCACCTTGTGTGGTGACAGAGTACAGCTCCATGCGCTGTATGGATATGTACATGTATATACACGTATCTCGTCTTTTTAAATAAGCACAAACATAGTTCTTCAATATATATATATACATATATATATCACACAATGGCCTGTATCATTATCACCCCATCCCATCCACATCCAGGCTACAAGCAGTACCTCTACAACACCCCAACCCATCAACACCCAGGCTTCAAACAGTGCCTCTACAGGTATTCTACACAATGGCCTGTATCATTCTCATCCCACCCCATCCACATCCAGGCTACAAGCAGTAACGAGGCCGCCATCAGCGCCGCAAGTGTGGAGGGTCTTCTCATGCAGATCACGCGGTTGTTAGTGCACACGCTGGCACGACAAGGCATGCCCACAGCCGTGTACTCGGGCGCTATTGAGATGCTCCGGCGGATGACTGCGAGGTAGGTATACGTATCGGTATATACGTATGTGTAGGTATATAGATCGGTATATACGTATGTGTATATATATATCGGTATATACGTATGTGTAGGTATATATATCGGTATATACGTATGTGGTTGTTTATGTATGGGTGTATATACTAGTGAGTATGATAGTTGCGTTGTAGGCATGTCGGTGCGTGTATGTTTCGCTGTCGTGTTGTGTTGAATTGTAGATGATCCGCCAGATGACTGTGGGTTAGGTATATATATTTCGCTTTGTAGATGTCTACATATATATACATACACACACACACATACATACACACACACACACACATATATATATACAAATATATACATATATATATATATATATATATATTATTATAAGATTTAAATTAATACACAAGACTGACCAAAAACACATACCCAATCACGCCCGTCAGGATACGACCACTACACCTGCTCACGTGGGGGGATATGTCGGCATTGGTACAGAACCTGCATGTTATAGAGGAGTACCTACCAAAACAGGACAGACATCAAGGTCAAGGATCCGCAAACAGAGAGAACCTCACAAGTGCACTATATATAGCTGTCACGTATGCGTACCTACAGCCGTACGCCAATCTGCCGGTAGGGGTTTGTGGTATCAGATGTGTTGTCATGTAGGCGTGTTGCGTGTTATATTGAGTTTAGAGGTCTATGTGGTATGGTTTGGCTCGTTACTGTAGCTACCTACAGCCGTACGCCAATCCGCCGGTAGGGGTTTGTGGTATCAGATGTGTTGTCATGTAGGCGTGTTGCGTTTTATTTTGAGTTTAAAGGTCTATGTGGTATGGCTTGGCTCGTTGGCTGTAGTAGTAAGGCTATGGTCAAAGGCTCCTGGGGCTTTTTATGTAGGTATGCTCACGCACAGTTTCGTCCCTTTCACGTACAGACAGTCCCGTTTCAATATGCAAGTGAGGGGTTGTGGTTCAGATGTCTATGTCGTATAGTTGTGTTGATTGTGTTGTATGGCTGTGTTGATTGTGTTGATTATGTTGTATGGTTGTATTGATTGTGTTGTATGGTTGTGTTGATTATGTTGTATGGTTGTGTTGATTGTCTATTTAGGCTGGTTATATTGTCTGGTCAGTTGTACTTCTCAATGTAGAAGGTATGCCCCCTGTACAGTGCCCGTCAAGCATGAGTACCTGTTTCAGGGGTTTAGGGTTAGGGTTCAACTAAACCAGCCGTACACGACTTCATCGGTGACTGGCCGTGGTATTCAATTTCTCTGTTGGTTTTGGTTGCCTCTGTTTACGGGTCATGTAGGCTATTCAAATAGACAACCTCACTGTATATAGCCGTCATCTACGCGCAGTTACAAGCGCTGCAATATTGTGCCGATGGGGGTGGTGGTGGTTTATGTGGTGGTGGTGGTGGTGGTTTATGGGGTGGTAGAGGTGGTTTATGTGGTGGTGGTGGTGGTTTATGTGGTTTATGTGGTGGTGGTGATGGTTCATGGGGTTTATGTGGTGGTGGTGGTGATTTATGGGGTTTATGTGGTGGTGGTGGTGGTGGTGGTGGTGGCTAAATACTTCTCTTGGAGGGGCCATGATGATTGGTTGGTTAGCCTATCCTTGTAGATACATTCTCTGTACAAAGCTGTCTGTTACTACGAGATATACTGTCTGTAAATAGATGTCTGTTACTGTGAGATATACTGTCTGTACATAGATGTCTGTTACTACAAGATATACTGTCTGTCTTTGGTGGTCACGTATGCGTACGTACAGTTTTTCACTACAATTGCTAGTGGGTAGTTCTGCTGTCGGTAGTTTCTACTTTTTCGGAGTGCTTGTTTGATCTTTTGAATGCTCGTGTAGGTATTCACAAAACCCAAACCCTAAACAACCTTCCGCCAGGTAGTACTACATCTTTTCCGAATTTTATTGCTTGGCGCAGCCACAAGTCAGATATAAACAGAGACAGACTACTATCCTACCTACAGGAATCGGGACAAAATTACACCGAAAGAGCAGCCAAATACAGGACAGCCATGGGGCCGTGGTTGGACCGGTACAATCAATTGCACACGTACGTCAATACACACAGCGACGCTTCAGCCGAAGAGACGATGCGACTGCAGCTGACAACTGCCGCAGATATAATATATGGCATCAAGGATCTGCCAAAGAAGTCCAAGGTATTATATATGAATATATATATATATATATATATTATATTATATATATATATATATATATATATATATATACACACACACACATATATATATATATGGAACTCTAAAGTGTTCTTGTTCGAAGTGTTTGGATAAGGTTATATAATATATTATGGATATCTATCCTTGTCATATGCTCATGCGCGCAGATAGACATACACACATACACACAAATTCTCAATCCACGCATATACGTGTACACGCATATATACACGTACACACACAGACACAAATCCGACACATACGTACTAGACTCATGCACCCATATACGCACATACACATACACACAAATGCCCACACACGGGTACCGATACATACTTATTACAATTGTAAACGCACGTGCACACAAACACATACACACACAAAAGCCCACACAGCGATACTTATTACACTCATACACACACATACACTCCATACACACACACACAAATACACACACACCGATTACGATGCATACTAACTACACACATATACGCGCATACGTCCCATACACACACACACACACAAATGTGCACACACCGATTACGATACATACTATCTACACACATACACGCACATACGTCCCATATATACACACACACATACACACACCGATTACGATACATACTAACCACACATATTCACGCACATACGTCCCACACACACACACAAATGCACACACACCGGTTACGATATGTACTAGCTACACACATACACGCACATACGTCCCTTACTATTGCAGGAGATGTTCCACGCTGGGTTTGAGCCTGTGCTGCTAACTGCATTGGAGCAGTGTGCAAAAGCACGAACTATCTAACCGCTTCTATCAATGTGATCAT